TAACTTTTGGGCGTGGCGTAGATACCTTAGAATATAGGGATAACCCGAGTTAGTATTAGAAGTAAGGAATCCTCCTTCTTATTAATTAAATGTAAGAATAAGGCAGTGTGACCCGATTGCCTAAACCCCAGTACAATGGAGATGAGTTTAATATAATATCTTTCTTTTCTCTCTCTCTCTAGAATGCGATCCCTTCCTCGTTTTTGTATGCCTTATATATTTCGACCAATAGGCCTGGTTGTAACACAATACATTCCTTTGAATTTTCATTAGTAAAACACTTGTGTTTGCTATTATCAAATCCCTAATTCTATATCTTAAGAGTGGTTCTCTTAAGTGTGAGTTTTAGGTTCTAGATATTTGATTAAGTGTGTCATATCTTAATTAAATTCTATATTTAAACCCCAAGTTAAGATAAGAGTGTGTGATATCTCTTAACACCAACTTGGCTCTTCCTCCTACACTAAAAACATATCTTTTCTTTCCAACATCTGGAAAATAATCGATTATCTCAATTGTTAATCGATTTCCCATCCTTCAAGAAAACACCTGTAAAACCCAATAATCGATTATCATTTCACGACAATCGATTATCATCGTCCCCTAAAAAACTGCAGTTATCAATAATCGATTGTTGCCTCACTGTCAATCGACTATCACACCTTCCTAAAGATTCTGTCAATCTCTCCCAAGAAACAGAACCTCTTAATAATCGATTATCCCATTTGGACAATCGATTATCCACCCATCATGTAAAATCCAAGAGCTTTGTTTTGTAAAGTTTGAGTTTAATACCGACATACCCGGAGCCAAGATACAACAGGAGGCCTATTCCCCAGTCCCTCTCGTCAACTTGAACATAAAGATGAAGTGTTTAAGAGAAGGAAGAACTCTAGTCGCGCGGCACCTGAGTAGGTAGCCCACCATGTACCAATATGAGTTGGGTACTAGTTGACAAAGCTGAAGGTCGTGGTGATTGAGATATTTTATGACCAGGTCGTGTAAAGGAAAACAAAGACCATGCTTCAACGACTTAAGGTGAATAGTGAAGAACTCCTTTGGGGCATCGAGAGCGGTGGCTGTTTTGCTTAGTCTAAAACCTTCAATCATGGGCCCCACTATTAGAATAAATGACCAACGCTAGAGGGGGGTGAATAGCGTTTGATCGTAGAAATCGCAGGAATAAAAAATTTAAAGGAGAAGTAGAGAGAAGAGAAAGAGGCACACCGAATTTACCCTGGTTCACCACAACGTGTGGCTAATCCAGCCTCCCGAGTGTTAGATATCTGGGAGCATCCACCAAGACCTTCTGTAGGCCACCAAAGGAAAGGCGGATCAGGAAAATAAGGCCAAAGTGTGACAACGTTATTTGGGTGAAATTCACTACGTTGCCCTATCTCAAAGCCCAAACCGACACCGTGGTTTCCCTACACCCACCCTAGGCCGAACCAACACCCCACCCAACCCTGAACATCCAAAAACATTTCCTTTTTCAAAATAAAGTTTTCCTGCTCTTATTTTAGCCCCTAGCCAAAAATAAGAATGTGTGAACCAAAACCTTTTGTTTGTTGTTATTTTCCTTCTTTTAAGCCTTTCCAATAAACAAATAAAACTCTCTCTCCTTCCTTTATTTCCTGGCCAATTAAACCTCACAATCCCAACATAAACACCCACAAAAGGCCAAAAACCTGACCCACCACTAGCCACTCATTCCTGCCCATGTTTCCCTCACAATAACCCAAACCCATATGTCCAAAACCACCCATAATATTGCCCAGCCTTGTCCCCTTTTATTGGCCAAACACAACCCCTCATTTTTACACAAATAATAGCTTTAAAACCCATGAAACAACCACTACAAACCAAACCTCAAAACCCCCACAACCCCAGCCCCATCCCTGAATTTTATTCCACTTTGAAGACATGATTCAATGGGTGTTACCCCATACTTTGGAAGTGGATGTTGCTAGGAAGTTTCCTAATCTCTACATTCACTGTATTGTGCTTTTCTCCCCCCTTCCCCTCTCTCTATATAACTCAGGCCCTATGGCCATTGTGTTAGGCTTCAACTCAAGGTGGAAGGAGGGGGAATCAGGGCTGAATGGATTCAGGGAGACAGTAGGTGTCTTGGGTTGGTTTTGGAAGAAGATTTAAGTAAAGAGATGGAAGTATTTAGAGGAGGGATGTCCTGATAAGAAAATGGCAGCAAAGGGAGGATAGGTTTTAGACTATATTTTGTATAAGGAAGGGTGAAAATGAGTTGTATTTAGAGGAGAGAATGGAGGGGCTGAGTTGAAGAAAAAAAAGGGCAGGAGTTTCTTTTGGTGTTTTTTTTATAAACCAAGTTGGTTTAAGAGATATTACACACTCTTATCCTTACTTGGGGTTGGAGTCTAGCATTCAAATAAGATATTACACACTCATTTAAATAACTAGAACCTAAAACTCACACTCAAGAAAACCACTCTTAAGATATAGATTTAGGAATTTAAATAGCAAACACAATAAGTGTATTACTAAAGAAAAGGAGAATACATTGAATGGATTTGCAAGGCCCAAGGCCGAAATATAAATACACACACAAGGGAAGCTACCAAGCATCTCCTTCACACAAATCTAAAGGAATAACAACCATTTATTAATGTCCTTTTGGTAGGGAAAAATCAGAGATGGGGATGGGTTTGTGGGGCTAGGGTTTCAGTTTTTAGTGACTGGCCAGGCATGTGTGAGTGAAAGCCATACCTTGATTGGTTTTTTGGTGAGGTCTTTTCAGCCAACTGGGGAAAAAAAGAGAGGAATGGCCCGGCTGTCCTTTTGGATGTATATCCTGGGTGTTATGTAGGGAACAAGAGAGGATAGATTGGGTTGGTGGTGGGTCAGGGCTGTGCAGATTTGCTGGGGAACATAAGGGGGGACAATGGCAGGTCTATTATGTGAAATAAGAGGGGTTTTTGGCTGGTATTTTCAGCCCTCATATGGGGGGGAATGAAGTGAATTAACTGGTTGTGGTTTGGCAAGGAATTTTTGGCTAGGAGTGTATTAATTCAATGAAGGGACAATGTGGGGTTCATAGGGTGTGGTAGTGTTGTCCAAAGAAAGTAAGAGGCTGGGTTGTTTGGATTTTTGGGGTTTGTTTTTTTGTGCAGGGGGGTTTTCAGCCTTTATGGGGTGGAGAAGTCCAAAAAGATTATGGCTAGGTTTTGAGGTTTGTCGATGAATATATAGTAAAATATTTATCTTATAAATATTTCTTTATAATATTTTGTGTATATTTCTAACACTTTAGAAAAATAACTTTGAACACAAAATAAAATTTTCTTCTCTCTTTCTTGTGATGGCCGAAATTCACACTAGAAAATGGGGAGGGATATTTCTCATTTTATAATATATTGCATTAAGGAATTGCTAGGAAATTGCTTAGGGACAAAAACAAA